CTCGTTCTGGCTGTCCTCCTCGCCGTACTCCTCCTCCTGTTCAGAAGACCTTTCCGGGCTGCCAGAGAAAGGGTTTAGGGACCCTAAACCCTAAACCCTAAACCCTAAACCCTAAACCCTAAACCCCCTTCTACAAATCCCAATTCATGATCCGAGCAGGCTTTTGGGCTCTATGCTGGGGCCGGAGACACCGAGATACCGGGAATGTCAGTGGTAGCGACGGCGGCCTTGCATGGTTTATTGTAGAAGCCCAAAAGCTGGAAACCCNNCAATCCTGAAGAGTAATGTATAGGGAATCCCAGCACTATTTGTCCTTAGTCCGGTTTCCAATTTTTCGGGGTTTACTGCAAAAGAACCCTGATAGACACCTTACTGTAAAGGAGCCTTTAAAGAAACCCTTCTAGATCCCTCAAAAGAGCCCTTAAAGGAACCCATACTTTTTTGAGTTTACGGTAGGGTTTCGGGGTTTAGCAGCTGCCATCCCACGAGGAAGCTAGGGGAGTTCTGATCTTGTCGTCCCTATGCTCAAACGCTGAAGAGTGGGTTTAGGGTTTGGGTTTGGGGTTTGGGGCCAATATAGGGTTGGGCTTTGGGTTGAGGGTTTGGCCCTAAACCCTAAACCCTAAACCGTTGGGGCGGGCTTTAGGGTTTACGGTTCGGTCTTCGTGGCTGCAGTTCTAGGGGGACATGGGTCCGCAGGGCGTTTTGGGTGGCTCGGAGCTACGAGAGAAATGAGACTAAACCCCCAACTCTCAACCCTGCAGAGCTAAAGCGCAAACCCTAAACCCTAAACCCCTAAACCCTAAACCCGAAATCTTGGAAGGAACCTTTAGACTCCCCCCTCTCTGAAACAAATATGAACCCTAAAGCGCAAAACCCTGATAGACATCTTTGAAGGAACCTTTATAATCCCCCCCAAACAAACATGAACCCTAACCTTGAAACCCTAAGCTTTCAACCCCAAGCCCTTACGGGAACCCTTATTCGTCCCTCAGCTACCCCCCCCTCCCACCACCCCTATGTAGGTCCAGGCGTCGACGCAAAAAGAACTTCCATGCCTCGGTAGCAGGGAACGGGTCCCCAGCAACCTCAGGTAGGGGCCTCAATAATGTGAATAGGGTTTCGGGGGTACGTTATAGTATACTTAGAGCAAGGAACTATTTCGGCTTCTATAGCAGAGAACGGAAGGTTAGTCTTTGGACTATACATGGGGATTGAGCTTAAGGGGTCAGGTGTTTGTGGTTTATGGTTTAGGGTCTCAGGATTGTCCTACCCCAATTAACAAATTAATACTCTACTACTAGGGAAAGCAACCCTAAACCCTAAACCCTAAAACCCAGAAAGCTAGGAATGGAAAGGGCTCCCTTCTATCTACGGTTGATGATATGAATCCTGCGTTGCCCATAATAAGGAATATACCATAATTCCCATCGCTTAGGGGCTCTTAGGTAATGCAGGATTTATATCATCAACAGCGTTATAAGGAACCTGATAAACCCTGGTTCTATAACCACGAAATCTTCGGATACACCCTAAACCCTAAGCCCCTAAACCCCCAAACCCCTTAACCCCTGAACCCCGAAACCTTAAAGAACCCGGACAAAGGCGCAACCAGGCTCCAATAATTAATATAGGCACCTGAATAATTCGAATAGGGTTTGGGGGTATATTAGACGATAGGTATCATAAGGAACGCCCAATACCCAATTCTAATTATTAAGGCCCCTACATTATACGCTTTACAAGAAAACTTTCGACCAAAGACCTAGCTGGGATCCCAGTTCCTTGAAGTTTACCTTGTAGGGATTCAGAAGGATTCAGGGTTTATTTAAACTTCAGGGTTTAGGGTTTAGGGTTTAGGGTTTAAACTTCATGGTTTAGGGTTTGGGGTGTTTTGGTTTTGGGTTCTTTGGGGGCTCAAGACTTACGGCTTGTACAAGTTAGTGCTTGTAGGGTTTAGGCTTCATGTTGAATGACTCCGAGTTTTTTTGTGGGCGGCTTCGTGTTGAGCGATCGGCCCTTTAACTTAAATCGTATATACACCCTTTTTGAATCAGAGACGAGCACCCTAGAACTTTTTAGGCGCGGTCGGGGAGGAAGACCATTGTTTCAGGTGCAGCCGCTGAGTGACTTGTAGTTCAGGGCCGAGGGTTCTATCTATAGGGCTTGGCTTAGGCGTACGAAAACCCTAAACCCTAAACCGTCTGCTCGCAATCTGAAGGACGTGAAGCCTGACAGTTCTTTCATGCATACCTACAAACGTGTTGCGAAGCAGGACTGCAGAAATGCGTGTATGTTGAGATCTCCAGCCCCAGACACTAAAGCCCTAAAGGAGTAAACCCGGAGCTTTGCACTTGCGGGTAAGGATCGACAGCGACATTTCAGACTTTCACGTCACCAGAGCCCCTCCGAACATCCGACAGCCTACTCAGCTCTGAACCAGAATTTGCAGGCATTGGGGTTTGGACAAAATCCTAAACCCACCCCCAAAACCCTAAACCCTGTGCCAGGACACTGTAAACCCCATGCCCTAACCCAAAACCCCTAAACCCTAAAACAGTAAACAGTAAACCCTAAACCCTGCGCCCTACACCCTAAAACCCTAAACCCTACGCCAAGCCCCACCCCTAAACCCCCAAACCCCTAAATGCCTTAAATCCCTAAATCCGAAAGCCTCCCAAAAGCGGAAGCCCTCGTGGACCTGAGATGCTGGAACTCTCCCGAAGTCTGAGCCTTTTAAGCCTTTTTAGGGTTTACCTGGACCCCACAGAACCCACCTTTTTCAGGAGACTTATATAAAGAAATCACCATAAGGAATCCTAAAATTGACGGTTTGGGGTTTCGGGTTCTAGAAGGATGATAAAAGACTTTGTGGGTTTTTGGGTCTGGAGTGCATGGTGTAGGGTTGACGGTTTAGGCTAGGCTGTATGACCTGTTTAGGGCGTAGGGAATTGACAAGGCTTCCTGATAAGATGTAAGGAGAATTTCGTACGATGGGTGTCTTGGGTTCTGTGGGTGCAACTCTGAAGACCCTCCGCCCCTAAACCGTAAACCCTAAACCCTAAACCCTAAACCCCCAACCCTTTCAAGCCCGACCTGGACCGTAAAGAACAGGGTTCCTTGTTATGGCTTCTTGATATATGGGTGGTTGTCAAAATCAGGGTCCCTTTTGGGGTACCCTAAATAATAGGTGCCGTATTACAATAAGGACCCAAAAAGGGACCATAATTTTGACAACCACCCATATGGTTTCCTGCTATAAGTCCTTGAAAACGGTAGGTTAGTTGGGGTTAAGGTAAGCCCTAAACCCTTTGCCTACCCTCATGTCTCGTTGCAAGGAGCCTTTCATCGCCATTGCACTTCCTGTGCGAAGTGGGTGCGGGACCTGCAGTGTAGCTCCATACTGAGAACCAAGGTGCTAGTAAATACGTATATACATACATGTATACGTACACACACACGTCGTGCGTAGAACAACCGGTACTCCGGAGTTTAACGGAAATGTAACTTCGATCTAATGCCTATTCAGTCAACCCCGAAACCCCGAACACAAAACCTAATCGCGCTGATCTCAACCCTTATAGAATGCCTTGCCTTATAGTAACCCATGTAGCCTCTTATGCTACCCACGGCTCTCTCAAGTCGCGCTCAGTGTCCGACCATGCTTTGAAGGAACTCTTTATCACATTGAATGCAAGGGGCCAGGCAGGTGTGCCCATCGAGGGGCTGCTCCCCGGTAGCGATGTAGTTCAAGATGCGCGATGAGCCTGTAGGTTTGGGGCTGCAAGCGCGCTTTAGGATGGTGGCATTGAAGCATGGGATGTTCAGGGGTGGTTCGGCTTCAGTGAAGAAGGATGAGGTAGTTGGGGTTCTTGCCTTAAAAGGAGAGGGAGAAACCCTACACCCTAAACTCGAAACCCTAAATCATAAACCCTAATCCAAAATCCTCAACTCTAAACCCTAAGCCCTAAACTCTAAACCCTAAAGTGGAGTTGTGGATGCAAGACCGTGGAGCATTGATCTAGGGACACGGTCTCGGGGGCGACAGCAATCCTGGACCCTTCATTAACGGTTTAGGGTCCAGGGTTTGGGGTTTTAGGGTTTAGGGTTTAGGGTTTTAGGGTTTAGGGTTTTAGGGTTTAGGGTTTAGGGTTTTAGGGTTTAGGGAAATCAAGGAATATACCCTAAAGGGCTACGGAAAGGGACCTAGAAGGGATTCGATAAGTGTAGCATAAGGAGTAAGGGGCATAACTTAGGTCATAGTAGGGGTCCTACTATAATCCAAGTAGGGATACTCCTTCACTGCGGGATTTTGGAAGGTCTGCATAAACCCCCTTATCATGAAGCCCAATAAGGTAGGGATATCCCTACAACATGCTTATGCTTATGTCCTTTTGGGGTCCCTAAACGCTAGCCTGTCTATACCCAGGGCTGAGCTTATGAAATAGTAAATAGGGCCAGGCTCACGGAAACCGATGCTGTTGTTGATGATATAGATCCTGCATTATGTTGAAGGACCCTAAACTATGGGAATTACGGTATTTTCCTTATTATGGGTAATGCAGGATTTATATCGTCAACCGTATCGTTGAGATTCTGAGAGTGGCCCGAAAGAACCTCCACAAAACCGTCTAACACTGAATGAGACCATCACTTACACCCACTTTGTATAGTCCCGCTTACACGTATACTATAAAATACACCCAAACCCTATTCTTATCACTGGGGCTCCTACATTAATCGATTACCTGGCCCCTGAAATCCCCACCACCTACTTGCTACTTAGTCCCATAAGACCACCCGAACAGAGCCTTGAGCGGCAAGGGTAATGTTTGGGGTTTAGGATTTCAAGGGTTTTGGGTTTAGGGTTTAGGGTTTCAAGGGTTTAGGAGTGAGTTTTTTTGGGGTTCAGGGGTTTAGCCGTTCAGGGCCTAGGGCCCCCAGGGTCTAGGCTTTGGACCCTAAACCCTAAACCCTAAACCCAAAACCCTATTTCAGGTGAAAGATCTCGACGGAGCGGCAAGCATAGAGTGCCATTTGGTTCGAGTAGGTCGAAAGATGGTGGTTGGCCACGTCCTGCCCAAAGCCGTCGGCGTTTGTCGGGGGGTAGGGTTTAGGGTTTAGGGTTTAGGGTTTAGGGTTTAGGCTCACACTGAGCCGGCAACAAGACGTCAGATTTGCAAACGTTCCAACACGAGTACACCTCCGAAGGTTCTTGCTGGACAAAGATTACCCCCCTCTCCAGTTTCCCTACAGCATCCAGTTTACACCTTCGGAGCCGTAGATTTACTGCGCGAGGTGTGGTCCAAAACCTCACCAAACGCGCTCACCCCGGACCCTTGGAGTCGTGGCATCCTACAAACCCTAAACCCTACACCCTACACACACTTAAAAGTTCCGAAGCTTTGGCCCGGACATTACCAAACCCTACGCCATGCGTGTTAGATGAGCAGAAGTAATGACAAATGATTCTCACCCGCTTCTTAGGATGGGAGATGGGGCATTCAGACAAAACGGAAAAGCTGAGGAGGAGACTGACGACTTATAAACCCGGAAACCGAAGGGTCCAATAGTAGAATGTAGGGCGTTAATATTAGGAATTGCTATTAATTGGGAAAGTATCCCCCATAAAAGTACCTAGGACCCTTTGGGGAAACCCTGTAAATCCTGCATCCCAAACCCTAAAACCCTAAACCCCCAAACCGCTTAAGCCAAGCCTAAGCTAACCATCCCCACCAGGCCCTGTCCTGCTGGTAGGAATCGTAGAGCTCTTTGCCTTGCATCTAGAGTATCACCAAAACGGGTTTAGGGTTTAGGGCTCAGGGTTTAGGGTTCGGGGTTTAGGGCTGAGGGTTTATGGGTTTAGGGCTTAGGGCTTCGGGTGCAAATTTTCCTGCGAGGAGAAACCGAGACATCCCAATCTGCATAGCACTACGGCAGAACCAGCCTTAACCCCCAAACGTAGCGTATCCGTATGCTTCTCGAATGTAAAGTCGAAGCCCCCAAAACTGGTTCCCTGTTGGGGCTATATCATACATCATCATCATTTTCAATCCTTATTGGTTTTTATAGTAACAAAAATGTAAAAATTGTATCCAACAAGGACCCAGAAAAACTCGAAACCCTGGTCTAATAAAGTTACCACAGCCCAGCGGCCTAATCCGGCCAATTTTGACTTGTCGAGGCAGTGACCGTAGCCTGCGTCACAGGGCTGTGACTGTCGACTTTTTGGTGTTCTAAACCAGGAGGTTTCAAAACCGGAACGCTATGCGTTTATCCTCTCCTTAGAACCAAAGGACGCAAGGCTGAACTTGATCTCAGAGCTTTGCAACTCAACACCCTTCAGCCGTGGCTTCGGCAAACCAGAGCTAACAAAAAGGCTTTACCTACTAAGCACCTACTCCAGAAGCTTGGTCTTTAAACCCCAAACCCCTAAACCCAAACCCCCTAAACACCCCAAACTCTAAACTGTAAACCCCTAAACCCAAACCCACCTAAACACCCCTAACCCTAAACCCCTAAACCCGTAACCCCTAAATCCTAAATCCTAAATAACCCCAAACCCTAAACCCCTGGACCCCAAACGCCGGGGCAGAGCGGGGCGCCTTGGTAGGTCACAAGATGACCCCGAGGAAAGGCGCTCCGAGCTAACTGAGCACTGGTGTAAGCCTGGGCTTTAGGCTTTTGGGCTTAGGGCTTAGGGTTTAGGATTTTAGGGTTCAGGGTTTAGGGTTTAGGATTTTAGGGTTTAGGGTTTAGGGGTTAGGGACCCTTAAACAACTGGGTGTAGGGTTTAGGGATTTGGGTTTAGGCTTTATGACTGGAGGTGCATGACGAATATCACGAATATACGCGCCTGCATAGCTAGGAATGCAATTGCTTAGGGCTTCCGGTTGTGATTGCATTGTGATATACCTGCAAACCCGAATCTAATTATCAAGGCCCCCATACCATTTGGTCCTGTGGGAGTCGAAGAAGGCACGGTAAAAAGTTGCATGCTATAGTTTTGGGGCCCATTATAGTATAATTAATATGAGGAAACCCCAAAGTAGACAATCTTACATTACAAAATATTTATACTGGAGAACCAAGATTCAGTGTTCGGATCATGCAAGTTCCCAATGATCACAGGACTCACCTGGCCATTGCCGAGGGGTGGCACAGGCCGTGCATCGGCAGGCCAAGTGCTAATGCCAACTACCCACGTCAAGGCCCATGGCGTGCCGATTGGCTGCTTCGCCATTGATTCCTGGCTGCGGCTTCTGGGTTGAAAACCCGAACCCCCGCGATCCCCTACACCCAAAACCACAAAACCTCCACAGCCTGAACCCTAAAATCCAAAGCCTAAAAGTGAAATCCTCAGCTGACTTTGTTTGGTCCTTCCACCACTGGATCATGGCTTCCTCGTTCAGCCTGCCGGCAGTGTCGGTGCCCATCACCATGGCCTGCATTCCAAAGTCAAACAGGTCCTCGTTGAGTATGATTGGTGCGTCGTCCGACGGTACGAGGTACCTTAGTTGTAGGATTCAAGAGCCAACAAGTTAAACAACTTCAGGCTTATAAGACGTAAACATTACCCCCCCAAATCTAAACTTACTAATTCAGCTACCAAGGATACTCAAGCAAAGCGGGGCAGTCCTCTGAGTCCACTCCGGACCAATACATTTCAACGCAAGCCAGGAACAACGCCGCCACTGCTTCGATGTTCCTAGGATTCCCACACTTTAGGGTTTAGGGTAAGGAAAAAGAATCGCAGACCACAAAAAACCCTAAACCCTAAACCCTAAACCCTGAACCCTAAACCCTGAACCCTAAACCCTAAACCCTGAACCCAAAAGGGCCCACCGGCAGATCGAGGGACTCGTCACCGCCTTTCTGAAAGATGGCAAGGTCTGCAAGTAGGTAAAGGAGTGCTGCTCGGAAGGGCTGGCTTGAATCCTCGACTCATCAACAACCAAGCCCAAAAAAGTTCAAACTATTTAGGATAGACCTAACATATAAGGCCAAAAATCCGATAAAATTTTCCCACTGGCCATCTGAGATTCTTGAATCATTTTAATCGCCTTCGTTTCGGACAGTGGCGCTGCTGGACAGATCTCGTCTTTGCTTAGATTCAGTTGGATGGTCTGGTCGCATGCTTTGACGAAACCTGAGTTGCCGAGCTCAGAAAAGAAAGAACAGCTTTGTGCAAGGTTACACTGCTCCCCACCGAAAAAAACGAGCTTAAAACTTGCCCTAAACCCTCTACTCTAAACCCTAACCCTAAAGCGCAAGCACTAAACCCCTTCCTGAGCTACTAAGGTACCATTGAAAGTTGCGGTGATGCCTTTTGCAAAGAGGTCACCTGACCAGGGAGCCCAGAGTTGCAACCAACAGCTTCGGGTTTAGGGTTTAGGGTTTAGGGTTTAGGGTTTAGGGTTTAGGGTTTAGGGCTTAGGGCTTAGGGTTTAGGGGTTTAGGGTTTAGGGTTTAGGGCTTAGGGGCTTCTTCAACCATACGAGGCAAGTCTTGGCATTCTTCCTGTGATGCCGGGAACCATACAATTATGAATCAGCGAATACATGTCTATAATATATATATATATATATATATATGTATGTATGTATGTATGTATGTACGTATGTATAAAGATGTATGGGTATATGTTTAGACAAATAAACAAGCAAATACATGCAGAAACAAATCAAGATAAGCACGCAACATGCATACAGATGCATACCTACATTACACATACGTTTATCTGTCTCTCGCTGTCTCGCTCCATTTTTCTCTCTCTCTCTCTCTCTTTCTCACTCTCTGTCTCCCATTTTCTCCCTCACTCTGTCTCTCTGTCATCGCTATTCGTCATGGTGTAGCGCATTGGGTTTACATATCTGATGTCTTTCATCGCTTTTCCTCGGAGGCCGTCTGATCGAAAACGTCTCGCGATCGTCTTCCTACAAACATTAGATATGCTAGTAGGATCGTTGACTCTATAGCTTGCAAAACAACGTGTCGGGGCCATGAACGACTCTGCCCCCCCAACCGTGTCGTCTGTCCGAATGTAGCTATACCTAGTTCTGGTGAGCCTACAGCTTGCTAAGGCACGGTGATAGCTAATGTAGGGGTCCTAATAATTAGAATTGGGTGTTGGGGTGCATTATACTTTAACCATAATAATAAGGATCCGCATAATAATAAGGATCCCCAGAGTAATATTGGTAATTATTAAAGCCCCTACATTATTATGTGTTGTAAGCCCTACATCCCCAATAAACCAGTGAAATACAGAGTTAAACTTTCAGATTACTACTAGGTTATAAGAGCCCAGAGAGCTAAAAGGTTGGATATTGGAGAACTAAGAACCCTAAACCCTAAACCCTAAACCCTAAACCCTAAACCCTAAACCCAGAAACCTAAAACTTTGGATCTTGGAGAGCTAAGAAGCCCATCTTGACAGTCCACGGAAGACATGCAACCCCTGAACTCCTCATCCCTCGACCCCTGACCTAATATAGGGGCTTTGCCGAGCAGAATAGGGGTTTGAGGTTTAGGATTTAGGGTTTGAAGGTTTAGGGTTTAGGGTTTAGGGATTGAACACTTTTATGTTCCGGTTTTGTGCAGAAACCCAATAACAGCTGTTGACGTAATTACTCAGGCTGCTACATGAGTACTGCTAGTTGCGACAGCCTCTTTGCTGAACGTCGGGAAAAGGGTCCACCACGCCATCCAAAATCAGGTGCTGCGTGTTCTCTGGGAAGACGGTCCCATAGACTCCAGCAACTGCGGTGCCTTGAGGTGGGGTGTAGTGTGCTCAGAACAACTCCATGAGAAATCAGCCAGTATGGAGTGTAACGGCCGGCGATCGGTGTTGGGTAACGGCTTGTGTGGGTTTATGAAGAGTTTCTGGAATCTAATGCTTGGGGGTAGTTTTAGGCTCTCCTTTTCTGAACATCGCACATGATGCAGGCCGAGTGCCGTAGGACATGCCATAGATGGACAGTTTCGGTGCACCGACTGCGCGGCGGAAAACGTCGATATCCTGGACCAGGTCCATTGTTCCGCCAAACTGCAGTGCATTGTACTCCTGAGCTTTTGTGCTGGGACTCAAGGGGTTCATTAATCATTCATCCCCGGGTTTACTGAACTGTTCCTGGACCATCTACCAACAACGTGCTTATTATTCTTTAACACCCAAAAAAATAACAAATGATTTTCATGCCCGGCCCTGTTTGAGTGAATGACCCAGGCCCTAAAAGGTGTAGGCCTGTAATACTCAAGATTTAGGACACCTGGTTTGAAGCGTAGGATTTGTCATGTGTCAGACTGCACGACCAAAGACCCTAAACCCTAATACTTCAGCTCTTGCCGGCCGGTGCAAAACCTGCTCTAGCGTCTAACACCCTCAGAACCAAACCTTAAACGCTGCACCCCCAAGTCCTGAATCCTAAATCTTATACCACCGCGAATCCTAAACACAAAGAAGTCCATGACAAGGTGCGCGCCCGCTTGGTGACTGCAGCTTGAATCCTCACCATGCAGGGCAAGCAGATCCGATAAAGTGATCGTTAGGGGGATTTCTGCCCGAAGCTCGACCAACCCTAAACCCAAGGTGGTGCTTTCTGAAATTCTGATCAACGGCCGGCATCTCTACATAGGATCCAGCAACTACGGAACTAAACCCGAAACCCCAAACAAAGTATCGCTGACAGCCAAGGATCGTGCAGCTTCGTAGCAGTAGCTGAACTCCAACTTCATCAGCCGATAGTACCATCGTACCAGGGTCTCGTTGAAGGCCATGATGCCTCGGCTTCACTCGTCTCGGATTCTATGGCAAGGCTGAAGGTTTAGGAAAGGGGGCATCGGGTTTAGGGTTTATGGTTCTTGGAACTTAGGGTTCTTTACCTATGAATCCTCATCGCTTTTTGGATCCTTTGACACAAGATCCTAAGTGAGGGTCAGGCGCGGATCTGCATCTTATCTGGAGCCCAGCGGACAAGACTAGGACCGTTCTATCGTAGCAGTTCGTTCGATCAACCGGCACCCTAGACTGGGTGAACCCAGTACATGCTCTACAGCCGGGATCAAGGCCTCGCACCTCTGCATCCAACCCCCTACATGCACTTGATGACCTGCGAGATAGCCTTTTACCCCTAAACCCTAAACCCTACCATTTTTCCATGGTGCCGGATTCGGTCTGCGTCATGTCTGGCGTCCGCAAGATCTTCACGATATAGTCCATGCTCTCACTGACTAGTCTCTCCGATGTGTCGTTGTTGCCGCCCATAATCAGCTCGACGAACTTAGCTTGTCACACAGGATGTCTCAGCATGCTGTACCCTAAACCCGAAACTCTACTCTTGGGCTGCTTACAGTTTAGGGTTTAGGGTTGTATGTTTTAGGATTTAGGGTCAGCTCGTACAGCCCTGATGGGCTTCTGGTACACAATCACAAACTGGGGCCCGATGTAGCTGTATTTACTAAGGAGTCCTCAAATACCACAAGCCTCTGTAGTAGTTTGAACAAGCATGTTTTAATGAAACCTTGGGCTGACACTGCAGAGAAAAAGGAAGTATGATTCGTGTACGAAGGCGTTAGTACTGGGCTTCTTCGGAAATCAACCAACCACTGTTCTTCTCAGCATAGGAGCCGTCCTGTTGTCCACCTGCCGGGTTGCTGGAGCAGCGGCTCAAGGATTAATATTCCTAAACCCGAAAACCCTATAGGCGGCGTAGTAATAACTGGAACAGGGCTTGGGGGTATTCTGTCTGCCCTCAGGGAAGCTCGAAGGGCCCATGCGAAAGCCCGCAGGCAGCAGTGAAGGAGACCGAGTGGCCACGAAGAAAAAAACTCGAAGCTGACGACATGACGGTTTAGTAATTTAGGGTCCACGATTTAGCGTGTTTTTGTTAAGGATTTAGGATTTAGCGCTTAAACTTCGGGTTTAGGATTTAGCGTCTAGGATTCAGGATTTAGTGCTTAGGGCTTAGGGTTTAGGATTCAAGATTTAGGGTCTGGGATAGGCTTTAGACTTACGTGGATTTCTCCAACCAATCAGGGACAGCAGTCGCAATGGGATTTGTGTGCAATTCTACAGTACTAACTCCTGAAACCTGGCGATATACTCGTTTAGGGTTTGGAACGCTGCCATCGATCCTTGCCCTCAAGCCTACAACAGTAAACAACCTCGGCACAACCATATGATTATGCTGTGAATAAGACCCTTAACCCCCAAATCCATCTACATCCCAAACCTCATAAAGCAAAACTCCATAAAGCCTATCCCTAAACTCTTAGCCCAGACCAGCCTGGCTCAAGAATGGGTTTGTGAGAATCTCATTGCACTTGATCTCCGGAAACGGGAGGATGTCCTCACCGGAGGCATACCTTTCAGGAACTTTGGCTGGCGATGCCGGAGGTAAGGGCTGAAGCTTACTAGACTTAGGATTGGGGACCCTTGGAGATATAGACCCTCTCAAAAGGTCCCTTCTAAGAGCGCCATACGTAGAGTTATGAAGGGTCCCCTTGAATGGGTCTCGCCTAGGACTTACTGTGCACCCCAGAAAGTTGGAACATGGCCTGAAAAGATTTGGGCTAGGATCCGCAATACTTTGCCTTAAGGCCATTAAAGGATAATTAACCCTGTTCCAACTTGCTGGCTTCTACTTCAAACCCTGAACCCGAAATCCTACACTCTAAATCTGGAACCTTGCTACTAGCACCAGCCAGACAACGCTGAGACACCTGATCCACCACTGCGCCCACCGAAAACCCTGCAGCTACAAATAACAGACATCCGAAGCCCATCCCGCTGTTGTTTGAGGTTTAGGTCTAGGGCTTAGGTCTGGGGTTTAGGGTTCAGGGACGTTTAGGGTCTATAGCAAGTCTGGTTTTGGAAACTCCATGAAGGACTCGACGACATTGTAAGACTTAACATAGCCTAATCAGAATGTAAGAAGACCATCGTGCTGCAACTCTGCTTGGGGAACAAACCAAAAACCCCAAACCCCTGAACCTGGACGCCTAAACCAAATCCCAAACCCCACTTGAGCGCCGATTGAGCCTAGGTGTCGGTGTTGCTAAAGCCGGGTAATAGTCGTCGTCGTCGTCGTCGTCGTAGTAGTAGTAGTAGTAGCAGTAGTGGTAGTAGTAGTAGTCGTCGTCGTCGTCGTCGTAGTAGTGGTAATTAGTCCCGAAACCCTAAACCGAGCGTTTGCAAACGCTGCGCCAAGAACACAGGCTTCCTGAAATCGTGACTTCACACAGAGCCTCGACACTCCAAATGCCTGCCGAACACCCGCAGAATTGATGGGTCTTTAGGGCCCAATCTAATTTGGGCTTCAGGGTGTTAGGCTTTTAGGGCTTAAGAGATTTAGGGTGGAGACTATTACGCATTAGAGCTTTGGGGCTGGAGTTTACAAGATTCAGACCACCAGATGGATAGTTCTCTGAGTTTGGGTCCCTTTCCAGGTCCCCCAAAAATTAGTACGGCCCCCTTGTTACCTGTACCCTTATTATGATTTTGTATAATATACCCCCAAACCCTATTCGAATTATTATAGTAGCCCTTATAGAACCACTGAAGGAACCCTTTAAAGGAACCCCCAAACCCTATTCGAATTTTTGAGGCCCCTATATTTAAAGGGACCCTAAGTTAAAGAACTGCACAATGAAGCCCAGTGGCTTGAAAGGGCACGGAGGTGTGTTGTTCCACTCGTCTCCTTGGCGACGCTGCGTGCGTGATGCTGAGAACTGCATAGGGCCCGGCTCGGTTTTTGGGGTTCATGTAGGGGCCTTTAGAAATTAGAATGGGGCTTGGGGGTCCTTTATAGCATAATTACAGGAAGGAGTCACAAATAATAATATTAGTAATTATTTGGGCTTCTATACAAAGCCCTAAACCCTAAACCCAAACTGGTGAGGAAGGTTGAGTGTCTGATACGAAGCTTGTTTGAAACCGAAGCCACGCAGCAGCTGGAATCCCTGAACCGCCCCCTGCCCGAATCCGTCCCAGATTTTATGTGTCGCGTGGCTTTGGGTTAAGGGTTTAGGGTTTAGGGTTTAGGGTTCAGGGTTTAAGGTTTTCGCGACGTTGTGCTCTTCTGGTGCCCTCAAGTAAGATGCTTCCTCGATAGGGCCTCCCCGTGCCAAATGCGAAGCCTGAAATCCTCAACCCTGAAACCACCCAAGCAATAAACCCCTGGGAGTCTGGAATCTAAACCTAGCAAAAAACCACTAAACCCTAAACCCAACCCTGAACCATCAAACCCCGAATTAAACCCCAAACTAAACCCCAAACTCAACCCTGAACCCCCAAACCCCGGATTAAGCCCCAAACTAAATCCTAAACTAAACCCTGAACCCTAAACCAAGCAACAAAGCCTTCGAACCCAAAGCAAGCAGAGGCTCCCAAGCCCACGCCCCGCTGGCTGATGGCCCAAACGTCGAAATTGGCGCTCAGAATGCTTTCGTTTCCTGCTCAGAACGTGCCGAAACGTTCACATGCTTTCGCTTCCTGCTTAGGGCTTAGGGTTTTAGGGTTTAAGGCTTAGGGTTTTAGGGTTTAGGGCTCAGGGTTTTACGGTTTAGGGCTTAGGGTTAGGAGGGGAGTTTAGAATAGGGTTTTGGGGTTTTTGACGCTTTAAATTATAATAAGGACCCCCGCCCCCAAGTAGTAGAGGTAATTACTCAGGATTAAACTACAGGTGGGGAGTTTAGGGTATTTAGGGCTTCTATAAGGCTTCTACAAGGTACATAGACCTTCTATAGGGCTCCTATACCCACCTGAAAGGTCCTAGACACAGGGAAGGTCTCAACTAAGAAAAGCTTCTGGTGTTTCAGTGTTGAAGGTTCGCGGTTTTGGGGTTTAAGGGTTTGGGTTTAGGGTTCTAGGGTTTGTGCCAAGGGAAGGTCTCAGACGGTTTTCGAGCTCACAGGGCTTACAAGTGACTGCTAGCGCTCCTCATGTTGGTGCTGTTACACTTACAGAAAGGGAAACCAGCCCCTCCCTACACTGAAGAGTAGTATATGTCAACATATATATATATATATAGAGAGAGAGAGAGAGCAGCCTGTATGCTCCGGTCATGAGGGAGCAACAGACTGAGCTTCAAGAGCTTTAGATAGGGACCTCCACAGTCAGAATCAGGTTATAAGATACATTGCAGTACACGTATGGTCAGGAACGCAAGGAATACTGCTGTCAGTTCAAGCTTCTATATATCGATAGTCTCCATGGTAGTTTCTTTTCGGGTGTTACCTTATAGGACCCTTCATATGAACTTGGTAAAAACCAACAAAGGGAAGTACAATGGAGACTCTAGGTAGTGTCCGTCCTAAACCCTAAACCCTAAACCCTAAACCCTAAACCCTAAAAACCCTAAACCCTAAGGCCGAAACTCGGACCCCCAGGGCCTAAATCATGTTGCAGGGATGAGGCTGGGGGGCTCCGGAGAAAGGGGGTTTCGGGGTTTCAGCAAGAAGAGAAGCAAGCAGTTCAGGGTTTAGGGTTGAGGGTTTTGGATTTATAAACCACTGGCAGAGGCTCTAGATCCTACTCCAGGTAAAGTTCTACTTACCCTTTTTCCAGGGACGCGACATGATTAGAGCAATCCCACTAACGCAGCCTACGGAACATCCTGGACTCCTACACCCTAAAAAAACTCTGAAGGTAGCCCCAATCCCCTGAATAGCAACTACGCGTTTCATCTCATTCTTGCGTTCTGGGAAGGTTTACGAAGTGCTACAAGGGTTGTATGTGTATAGGGGCGGTATAGAGGCTGGAAAGGGTTCCCATCTTTTGTCAAGTGATTAAAGTAAGGCTATTAATCAGTCGCTCAGACCCAGATACCTAAAGGATGAAGCTGGAAAGAGACCGGAGTCTACGCAAATTAGTCAAAACGACCCAATGCTATGAAACCCTAAACCCGAAACCCTAAACCCTAAATCCTACACCCTACACTAAGCTTAGATCTGTGGCCGAAGCACCAGAGCGCTCTGGTCCGGTAGCCTGCAGCCATGGATTGGTCACGGATTCACGGATACTCGCTACGTGTGGCGCTTGCGGCAACATGACAACTGGATGTAAAGACTGTCCTAAACCCTCAAAATGTAGGTAGAATAATGGCCCAGCACCTCTAAAGGCTATTATTCTACATACTTCGGGGGTCCAGGATTGACCTATTGCAATGTCCGGCCGGCAGCGGTGGTACTGCTAGGAGCAGCACTGACGCCAGCACTCAAGGGTGGTAGTCGTGTGGTGGTACCTTAAACCCTGATACTTATAGAATGGCAAGGCTTTCCTAACGTAGGGGCCTTAGTAATTAGACTAGGGTTTTGGGGCCTTTTATACCACAATAATTATAAGGAACCTCCAAAATAATATGGGTAATTTATAAGGCCCCTATATCAGACACCTTGCTGGGGTTCGAGGTTGCAGGCTTGAAAGGCTGCGAGTGGTGGATGGACCCTGAGTGCTTCCGATGCCCCCAACTTCTCAAACGGGCCGTTCTCTAAAAATAGGGTCCCGTTTAGGGTCCTTTTAACAAGGGTGCCGTAGTACATTGGGACCCAAACCGGACCCTAATCTAGACAACTACCCAACTACACACAAATCCCGAGCTCGGGGATCTTCGTGGATTCCCCTCTCACAAGACTTGCAGCGAAACACAAAACGATGAAACTGTCAAAGTTTGGGGAACCAAGCCGGCTGTAAACAAACCACTGCGACACAAACAACGATAGGACAATAACCACAGCAACAGCCACAGCACTACAGCCCGAAAGATCCATGGATACGAACAGACTGAAATCACTGAAATCGGATCCACGGGAAGTTGCGAAACCCTCGGCGTGTAACCCTCCACCACCAACGACACCACCACTACGACAACTACGGCAACAACGACGACTGCTACCATTGCGATGAGGATGAGGACGAGGATGACTGTTACTGCTTCTGCGGCTGCTGCCTGATTCTGCCATCACTGCACTACTGGGCATGCTTCTAACTGGTATGTTTACTGTTGTGATAATTTCCGGAAATATTGCCAGTAGTTTTCTCGCGCTGTTCTTTGCAGCGCGAAGCTCTCACCACAGCCTGCCTTTCATCGGACCCTAAGCTCGAAACAACCCCTAAGACACTAAACCCGAAACCCTAAACCCTGAACCCTATGTCCCAAACCCTGAAACCCTAAACTCCGTAATACAGAAGCCTACAGAAATACCAATATAATTCTTAGACTCTGAGGGGTCCTTATGATATTTATTGTAGTATAGTATACCCCAAAACCCTAAACCCTGTTCTAATTATTTAAGGTCGCTACATGAACCCTGCCTCTCTGGCTTGGGAGCTGGGCGGCACCCAGTGGGAGCCCAAGCCACGGGCATCGCGCTCTCGGTCCTGTCCACGGTGTTCAGAATCCTTCTGAGGGCTCAAGGGTTAAGATAGATAGATGGATTATAGATAGATACATAGATTATGTATATAAGTGGTTTAATGTACATACTTGTATGTATGTATGTATGTA